ACCGTAAGAATGGCTTAAGGAAGTTGGAGATTTCCGTCCCCTCCCAAACAGTACAGTTGTGGGCGGGCCAGCGACAGGCAGCTCTGCCCAGGCTCCTCTGTCTCGCGAGGTGTCCTCATCTGCTCAGTGGAAACCGCTCCCCCATTGCATCCGCACTGCAGTGCGTGGAGGGCCAGCAGCTTCCTCCCAAGGACGTGACCTTACCGTCGAACTCACCAATTCCCCTGACACACCGCTGTCCGAACGTAGTCACGTGGGCATGCCTCGGCTGGGAAAGGCCATGTCTGGTTGGATGGCCAGCCAAACCTAAGACGTTTACTCACCAAAGGAAGAAAGTAGGAGTGGAGACTCAGACAAATCGGCATCAATGCTAACGTCAGGATTTTGTTTGTGTATTAGAGACTCGCCTAGTCTGTGGAGGAATTTATCTGTGAACCTCTGTGAACCTCTCCTTCACTCATTCAGTGTTGACAGCTTCACTCATTCAGTGTTGACAGCTTCACTCATTCAGTGTTGACAGCTGCTGTGGGCAGAGTACTGGGCGTTCAAGGATCAGCAAGCCACGGTCTTGTCCTGGAAGGACCCACAGCCCCGGAGAGGGGACGGGCCGATAGTTGGGCAATTCTGCCACAGAGTGGAAGTGCAGACACAGAAGGATGAGCACTGCGTGGTTCTGCTTACATGCAGCATCTAGAATAGTCCAATTCATGGAGTCAGAGATGAAGGGTTTTACGGGACCGGGGGGTGGGGGTGGGGTGGCGAGGAGTTATCAACAGGCATAAAGTTTCGGTTCCGTCCGCTGGATTTGCTCTAGAGATCTGAATTACAGAATCGCCCTTTTGGCCAACAGTCCTCTTTTGTACGCCTAAAATTTGTTAAGTGTTCTTACCACAACACAAGAAAGAATATTAAATAAAAAATTCAGGCCCTGGCCGTTTTGGCTCAGCGGTTAGAGCGTCGGCCTGTGGTCCAGAGTCGCGAGTTGGATTCTGGAAAAGTGCACGTACCTCGGTTGCGGTTCATCCCCGGCCCTGGTCAGGGTCGTGCAGGAGGCAGCCAGGCGGTTTGTCTCTCTCATGTCGATGTTCCTCTCTCCTCCGCCCCCACTCTATCTGAAGATAAATGGAAAAGTATCCTGGGGTGAGGATTAAAAAAAATATTCGGTACTAGGTGGGTTGGGAGGGGGTGTGGTTGGCGGAGGGCTTCCTAGGTGAACCAGGTAAAGGTGAGAGGCAGGAGCATGGTGTGCGGGCCCTGCCAGCCCTCCGGGTGGGTGTAAAATGGGAGGTGGGCAGTGTATGCGGCCGGCCTGGACACTAGTTCAGGACCTGACCACAGAGGAGCTGTATGTTCTCAAGGACATAAAGCCCCAGGCCTTTCTCAGGGGGCTCTACTGGCACTTTGAGAGAGATTTCTGTGTCCGAGACACTTAGCATCTCTGGCTCCCTGGCAGTCGGTGTAGGAGCGACCCCAGCCCCTGCACTAACCGTGTTCCCTGCTGAGAATCACTGTTGGGAGTGCCTAGGGCATTGACCTGGTCAGAAGTTTGTTTTAAAACTTCCACTCGTGGCTGCGAGGAGGGCAGCTTTAGGAGAGCTGAGTGGAGCAGGGAGCCTCGTTCCAGGCCCCTGGACTCGTCCAGGCAGTGCTGCCCAAAGTGGGGGTGCAGACACAGGCAGTTTAAGAAGCACTGGGCTTAGGTGGGGGTGGAGCTGGCCGGGGTGGCGGTGGCAGGGGTGATGTGGGGCCAGAATCAGGGAGATTGGGCCCAGGTGAGGCTGAAGGAGAAGTCGGGTGTCTAGCTATGGCTGAGGTGGGGTGGGGTGAGGCCACCCGCTGAGGCTGAGGCTGAGGGAGTCGCAGGCTGTAGGGTGCGGATGACAGTTTTTGTAGATGAAATCTGAGGTGGAGGTGTCAGTAGCTGGGAGCTGCATATTTGTTTGAGGGGGACGATTTGGGCAGAAGATGGCTGGTTTGGGAGTTTGCAGCATTCATAGGTAGTGACTGGAAGCTGGATGTGCAGCTTTCAGGGGAGCAGGGGGACACTGGGGGGCCCTGGGGAACCCGCGTCCCAGAGCTGATCAGAACGCTTGCAGCCCTCTCTGGACACAGAGAGAAGGTGCCTCTTGTGACCTCGAACCTTGCACACAGTGGTCTGTTCCCAGAGAGGACTCGGGGGAGGGTCTCAAACTGTCTGTGTCTGGATGTGTGGGCCCTGCCTGTGCGCCCGCCTGGCTGTGCTTTGTCGGGGTGCCACTGCCACTGTTGGTATTTTTAATTATGGTAAAAACAACAACATGAAACTTGCCATCTCAATCATTTTTAAGTGTACAATTTTGTAGTGTCAGTACTTTTACATTGTGCAACCCATTTCGAAATCAGAACTTTTCAAACTTCCCAGCTGAAACTCCGTCCACCTCCTTCAGCCCCGGCACCCACCCTTTTTCGGTCTCTGTGGATCTGGCTTCTCCAGGGACCACTTGCCAGTGGGATCATACAGCCTCGTCTTTCTGCGATGGGCTTCTTTCTTTCCTCCTACATCACGGCCCCAGGTCCGGCCATCCTCCAGGTTGTAGCCTGTGGCTCATGTCATCATCACTGATATTTTGACGGACTCTCCTCCATGTCCTGCTGTAACTTTATGTCCTTGGTCCTCCAGAGGGAGGTGAGACCCATCTGCGTTCCTCCCTGTGTCCCCCAGGGCACCTAGTATAATGCTGAACACAACAGCAGCAACTGTATGTCACTGATGCGTCTTCTCAGCTTTCAAAGTGTACAGAACAGCTCCGTTTGCCTGAAGTAGTTAACTGCTCTTGTACTTCATTCTGTGCTTATTTAGTTTGTGTGCATATATTTAATGTTCATTCCCCTTGATGTTGATGATTGGCACTTTGTACAGCCTGTTTTGTAGGTGACTCATATGACCACTAGGTGGCGATATTGGTTTTGCATTTAAAGACGTAATTAAGCAATCTCATTAAGCAACCCCTGTCCCCTAGCATTTAATTTCTGTGATAATAAATGGAATATGGACTAAAGCAGTAAGGAAGCCTTCCTTTAATGATAAGATAGCACAGTTTTCTTATTCTGAAGTTCTTTCCCAAGTAGTCTGTCTTCACTAAGGTTGATAGGTTCTTGGGAACTGCAATTTTAAGAGAAGCGACATATAATGAAACCAATTTCACCCTAGGCTAATTGATAGAAACAAGTGTTACATTCCTGTGGAATATTCCTGGTTGCAAAAACATCACCAAATTTCTAAATAAAACCCCCCAACATTTCTAATATTGAACATTGAAATCAGTGTGACACCCACACACATACACACACACACACAAACACTCATTTATCCATTTAAGAAAGATGAATAAAAGCAAATGAGGTAGTGATTTCCCAACCCACTTGTCCTAGTTCTGGGTCACAGGTGCCCGGAGCCTGTCCCAGTAGCACGAGGCGGGACTCACCCTGGACAGGACGTCCTTCCGTTGCAGGGTCACTCACACACCCCCACTCCTCAGACTGGGACAGTGTGGACACGTGGGCTAACCTAACGTGCGCATTTTTGGAGTGTGGGGGGAAACAGGAGGACAAGGAGAAAACTCACACAGACATGGGGAGAATGTGGCAACTCCACATCGACAGTGCCCCGCTGGGAATCAAATTTTTTTCTTTGTCAGTGTTACAACAAAATAATATTGAATGAATGATGTTAGTTAAGGACCTGCTATGGTTATGACAGAACTTTAACCCTTGGATTTAATTTGCTCACAAGATCCAGAGAGTCCTGTTATGACTCAGATTTTATCGTCTGGGTCAGCAAGTCCTTTAGTAGTTGAAATGGCCAGAAAGATTTTAGAGTGGGCAGCTGTACTTGATACTAGTTCTTTTTTTCTCTTTATAGAGCTTTTATGCTACATGTGGGATTAAAAGTTGAATTTATCTCATAATAGCATTTTAGAGATTCAGAGGTTGTTGACCACTAACATAGGGTCTGCAGACAGTGCTTGGCGCAGTGAGATCCTGTGACCTAGAGCTACCTGAGAACAGAGAAAAGGGACGAACTCCAGAGAACCGAACACCGAGGTGCACAGAACACAAGGAGACAAAGTCCCCGTCAGAGGCAGCTGGGGCTCCCAAGGTAAAACTTCACTGGAACTTGTTTTAAGAAATGTATATATTCTTTAGAAAGCATGGACAGCTCATCCATCAGCCTTTGAAACAATCTGTGACAGGAAGCATCCTGGCTCCTTTAAGGAAGGGGCAGTCCCATGGGTTGGCAGGTGTGCACTAGACCTCTAATGGAATGGGCTGTCTGGGGCCCTCTTGTCCCCTGGGTCCTGAACCACAAAGTCTTCTGGTGGCCATTTGGGATTTCACCATTGATAACCCACCATGAGCAGGCACAAAAGCGGCTTGGTGAGGGAGGAGCCCACAGTAAGTTTTATCATTTGAATATTTATCTGCTAGCCCCAAATACGTGTTCCTCCCACTTCTATATGTCTAGAACTGCTGTTTATTTAGTTATTGCTTTTGTCAGGTTGCACCTGACTATGATATAGGCCAAAACAATTAGGGGGCAAAAATGAAATGGTTTCTGTGATGGTGCACCTGCTTCTAGCTGTTCCTTTTGCTTTGGCAGATCATTACCTATGCCTGGGTGGCCTCGAGGTGCTAAAATCGGTCTTACTAAAAACACAAACATTTTGCATCTTTATGGTGGGTGAATATACAACTTTCAGTGTGAAATCTAGTACTGTACTTAGAGCTGTTATTAGCGTGGTATAACTTCCCTTTGTTTTCTGAAATAATTGGGTCGTTAAAAATTGTCATTCCCATCTCTGGTTTTAAAACTTATAATGAGATTTATAATGGATTCGATGTTTGTAATTATATATGTCTTCTAACCAGTAAGCCAGCAGACTTTACCAAGCGCTGTTCTATGTGTGGAGTACTATTCAAGATCGCTATGGAGCAAAGGATTAGAAAAGATATTCTAGTTCTTTGAATTACTGATAAGGTAGATGGTGACTATTCCATAATAGAAATGACCATATAATTTTAGTAGAAATTAGAAGTCCAAAATCAGTACTTGTAGTATATTAAAATACTTATTCAACAAATATGAATTGGACATCCATAGTTATAGTAGGCACTTTTGAATATGAAAGGATATCTCTGGATAACACCTGGGACCCTGGAGAAGGATGATGCTCACTGGTAGCTGTCTAACAAGTAGAGTTCAACCCTGGCCGGCGGCTCGGTTGATTGGACATCGTCCTGAACACCAAAACGTTGCAGGTTCAAATCCTGGTCAGGGCACATACCTAGGTTGTGGGTTCAGTCCCTGGGGAGGGACATGTACGGGAGGCAACTGATCGATGTCTGTCAAATTGATGTTCCTCCCTCTCCCTCCCTTCCTCTTTCTCTAAAAATCAGTTGAAAAAAAAAATTCTCATGTGAGAATGGCGATCTGGTTAGACCGGCACGGGTGGCGAGCAGAGTGGTGAGATGGGATATGGTGGACGGATGTGTTCCTGACGGTAGATCTGTAGATGTAAGGACACAGATTTTGAAGAAGTGCTATTTTTTTTCCTTGAGCTTTTCTGCCTTGTGTGACAGATGGAAGGGTCCTGTGACATTATAAAGACTGACTGTTTAGAGAGGCGCATGAGCAAAACACCAAGTAGAGGGGGGCTCCTGGAAGCCCACAGGAAGGAGTGTTCCAGCGATGACCCCAAATTAATCAGGCACTTCGCTGCGTTTCCTTTTAAATGCCTGCTGTGTGCACAGCATCTGTGTGTCACTATGATTTGACTTCTGGTTTTTGAACTTAAAAATAATTCCTTCTTAAGTGGATGTTTGTGTGAAAAATTGTGTATTTTGTTAGTTACATGATATGGGAGACACAGCTTGGAGTCTGGGGCGGGCTCCCATGGAGTGTCCTGTCAGTGTGGTGATGGTCACGTTGTCAGAGGAGAGTCTTTCTTCCCTTCGGATCTGGGGTCCAGTAACCAGGGAGACCCTAGAGTGAGATAATTTCTACTGCAGCTTCAGAAGGGTGTTAACAATTTTCCTAACATTATGGAAACCGTTGTTCTCCAAAGGAGTTTCAAAATATGAAATTGGAAACAGTAGAGGAGAGACGATAAAGCATCATTGTGTGTGGTTTTTTTAGTAGGTTCTAATAAAACAAGGATTTGCTCACCATTTTGAAGACTCTAAAGTGTGACTCTGAACCTTCTGCAGGGCGAGGATCAGGCCAGGTTGGGCAGTTCTTCAGCACGGGGAGCAGGGGTAAGCCACCGAGGGAGTGGGGGCTGGAGGAGAGGAGCAGAGAGTTTGGCATGAAGGCAGGACCTGGGAAGAGGCAGAACCACAGGTCGGTTATGGTTCTATTTTTAAGGCAATCTGCAAACAGAAAAACAAATTCAGAAATGGGATATGCTTATATGGTTTAATTTTGGGGGGGGTGCATTTTATGGTAGATATTAGATTACATTTTTATTTCAGGCCAGTTGGAGCCAGATGAGCTGCTTAGAAACCTTCCCACTCTCACCACCACCAAGTAAATAGCTTTTGAAGGGAACAGACACTTCTCGTGTTACTGCCTTTTTTTGTGGTATGAACTTTATTGAAAACCTGGCAGACTCAGCCTCACAAATACAGGATTATTTTTGCTTGTTTGCAGAAAGTTCTGGAAATCACTATTTCCTTGGGAAGAGTTAGTCAGGCCTTGGCTCATTAGTTTAAAAAACCTGATTGCCATAAAATAAGCCAGGACAGCCAGAGCAAAGCCTTTCGTAGGTTACAGTGTGAAGAGCCTGAGAAAGGTGGCCCGTATTTTCCGTTTCTGGCGAGCTTGTAATTGGCCAGGAGACAGCGGGAGGCACATCAGTAGAAGGTTAGCTCTGAGACGTTAGCTTTTCTTTTCTGGTGAGAGCAGGCGCATGCTTAATTATTAAAAGTTCGCTTATTTGTGGTAACTGATAGGTGTTAACGTGATAAGTAATCACATTCAGTTGTTTGTTAACCTGGAGACTTGATTACATTGCTGTTGAATAAGACTTGATTCATCCATTCATGCAGTGAATCTGTATCGGGTATTTATGCAAGGGCCTGGGCAAGATGCCCCTGTGAGACCAGGTCCGCTTCTGGGGACGGGGTGTCGCTCAGCCGTAAGTAATTCTTCACCCCGCGTGGAAGGCCGTGCCATGAATGTTCCAGCATTTGATCCTCCTGTCGTCCTGTAGGACTCTGCCCCTGTGATTCTGGGGGGAGCTGGCCCTGGCCCACTGCGGATTCAGAGGCAGACGCTGGGCTCCCTGAGCCTCGGGGAGGGCACCTGTGACGTCGCCGTGCAGAATTCTCAGTCTGGAGCCAGGACCCAAAGAAGACAGTCACTTTAGAACACCCCCCCTCCCCCCCCCCCCCCCGTGGTGGTGAGATCGGAGCCCATTGTCTAGTGTTCTGTGCAGACAGTGCCTGCTGGTGGTGGCGCAGCGGGGAGGTGAGAGCGTGGGCGGGGGTGGGGGGGTGGGGGGGATGAGAGGGCGGGCGGGGAGGTGAGAGCGCGGGGGGGGGGAGAGGGCGGGGCGGCGGGGGGAGGAGAGGGCGGGGGGTGGGTGAGAGCGCGGGCGGGGGGGGGGGGGGGGGGGGGAGGTGCCGGGCAGCGGGAGGTGAGAGCACGGGCGGGAGGTGAGAGGGCGGGGCGGGGCGGGGGGGGGGAGGTGAGAGCACGGGTGGGAGGTGAGAGGGGGGGGGCGGGGGGGGGGAGGTGAGAGCGCGGGTGGGAGGTGAGAGGGTGGGGCGGGGGGGGGAGGTGAGAGGGCGAGGGCGGGCGGGGAGGTGAGAGCGCAGGGGGGGGGCGGGGAGGTGAGAGTGCGGGTGAGGCGGTGCCCGCTCTGCCCACAGGGTCAGGAAGGCTCCGTGGGGCATCTGCGCGGAGCCTGGAAGGAACGGGAGGAGCTCGCTCACCCCTGCCCGGGCAGCTGTGAGGCCTCCCGTGGGTGGCGGCCGTCAGCGTGGGTCCCGCTGGATGGTGGTGAATGGGTGAAGGAAAGAAAGGCGAAGGGCTCTGAGCTAACAGGATGAGTTCACGTTTGGAAAGGGGGGTTGGAGGGACCAGTGCGACCTCCAGTGTACGGGGCCAGGGCCTGGAGTGGAGCCGGACCTGGAAGCGCAGCAGTCACCCTGGCTGACTTCCCTGAGTGCGCGTCACCGTGGTATCAGTCCACGCTCCTGGCATAGCCTGTGCTGTGCCGTTTCCGCGGGCCCACTCGCTTACGTCTGTGAAGTGGTCACAGTTCTTTTCCCCATTTTGCAGAGGGGAAACTGAGGCTCGGAGAGACTGACCGACTTGCCCACAGTTGTATCATTAATAAGTAGCGCAACCAGGCCTGTGTCTCAGTCTGACTGGCCCCAAAGCCTCTTCTGTCTGCTCTGCTGCCTCCTCACACAGGGGGGCGTAGTCACCGGCAGGTGGTGCCGCGCGTGTGCGCGAAGAATTCCACGCCGGTTACCTAGCGTTGTCCTGTCCACTCCATCCCTTCACCTGGCATTGTTGTTGAATACCATTTATCCCTGACACTGTCTTCTAGATTTATTGCTTATTGTCTGGCTCCTTCATTAGAATGCGACAGCCAAGGGTGCATGGACTGGGCCTGGGCCTTCCACAGCTGTTTGCTGTGTTCTAGAGCGTGCCTGGCATGTAGTAGGTACTCAGACACTGTCACATCAGTAACGAGGATCATGACCACATGTGTAGCATCGTAGGTGCTCAGACACTGTCACATCAGTAACGAGGATCATGACCACATGCGTAGCATGTGCCCAGTGGAGGCATGTGGTAACTCACTTGATTCCAAGGACTATGGTTATCCCCATATTAGAAATAAGAAAACGGAAGCACAGGTAAGTCAAGGAACTTGCTCAAGGTTGCACAGCCCAGAGACATGGCGCAGAGATTCTCATACAAGTACTTTAGCTCCAGAAATCAGGTCCTTGGATGCTAAGCTTTACTGCCTCTCACGAGTGAATGCATGATTAATTTAAACAGATTTATATGAGCTATAAAAATGTACTTAGTAATACATCTCAAAGTAAATAGTTAATAAAAATAAATTTTATAAATAATGAGGTAATATTTTTCTGTTAAGAAAGGACAGTTAATGATTAAGACAGATATATGGAAAAATCTTTTAAAAAAAATAAGCTCAGATTCCTTTAAGATACGTTATTATAGCATCATATATAAACTACTGGTCCATAAATAATACCGGGATTTTAAAGGCTAGTAAATCTGTCTGATACACATTTCAAACAGCATGTTATACATCTCTGTTATTATCCTCATAAGATGTACCCACCTCTTATGGAAGAAATTATAATAGTAAACAGATGTTAATTTTCATCATATTTTATTTGTTGGTCTAAAAGCTTAATTCAGTGCCTAAGAACTATATAATAGTTGGACTTTGGAAATACAGTTGAACTGAAATCAGCCTTTAAACAGGGTCAGCCTTTTAGAACTTTTGCCTAATACTGAACAAATGTGTGGGCTTTTGCTTCTAATTTAGTACCTGGACTGAACAGTGAGGCTGAATTAGACCATAAACTCACACCGCCAGGCTTATATTTTTAATTAAAGGACGGACAAGTTACAAATATTGGGAAGCAGTCTGTGGACAGGGGAAAAGGCCAGCAGCATGGGGTTAAATGAGTTGAATTCTTTCCAGACAGTGGCAGGAAAACTGAAGTGTTTTAAAAGCAAATTTGCCTAATGCTGAAAGTAATTTGTGATGTTTTCAGTGTTAATCTGTTTTCGTCCACGTTCAAGCGTTGGCATTTTTATTCATGCTATTAATATTTCTAGCTGTAAATTTTTCATGGTTTTCCCTCCATAGCAAGAATAAAGAGCTGTCTCCATTCTTAGAGGGTTTTGGAGTGCTCAGCTCTGGGGTACAACCGGGTTCCCTAATGAAGATGGTGACTATGTGTAACAGCCAGGTGATGAGGTCGAGCATTGGTTTTGCATTTGTTTGTTTTCAATTCTTATTAGTGGCTTCAAGTGTGACTCTATGCCTCGGTAAGAAATATGTTCAAAGGAAGTACTGACTGAAAGTTTAGTGGCTTTCTGAGGTTCAGATGCTCGTTAGGACACGGGTAGATCCTGAGGATGGAAGCAGAGGTTGACCTGGGTATGAGACAGGTGGAGTATCAGCAAAAGTTTAAATTGTTGTGATCAAGCTTTTCATTTCCCTCTTCTTTTCTGTCCTTTCCCCACATTTGACCATTTGTATTTTTAGCCCCTGTCTGCTTGCCTCTGCTATGGCATGGTTTCCTTAGTGATAGGAGTTTGTCTTACCTTTTAGGTTTGAAATAGCAGGTTTGGGGAACAGGCACGGCTCAGCTGGACGGCAGATGGCGGCGTGCACGAGTGTTTCTCCTATCGCTCTTATGCTGAACGTCTCCTCTGATACAACGTTTTCCTATTTTCCCCTTGATTTTTCATTTGAAAACTCTTTCTCAGTCATTCATCCAATTGCATATAAACCCCATGGTGGAACTAGACAGACAGACAGAAAGAAAGAATGGAAATGATTACAATTCCAAGTGGTAAGATCTGGGCTAAGACCATTTGATGGAAAATTTTATTGTGATCTTTTGAACTACTTTATCTTGGAAGTGCTAATACACAGGAGTAGGTGTGTATCTGTTTGGGTCTTTGGTATTCACACACAGGATATATACATATACTCATACACACTTATGTACACACATGTACTATATAAAACAAGAATAAAAGCTCTTGGGGCTTTTTGAGTATTATTAGTAGACAAAAATATATTTATGAAGTGATCTTGGCTTAGTGAAAAGTTCATCAAGACCAGTTTTCTGAGTGTCATGGTAGAGCTGTAGATATTTGAGACAAAGGTATTCATGTACCCATGGAGACAGTTGTCGACACAGCATACTAGGTTTTGAAGTGTTTCTATTTGAAGATATAAGGGTAGAAAAAGCTTGATTGCCATTTTTGTGTTCACCAACTAAAGTAAATATGAAATCCAGGCATATTATTTAATGAACAAAAAAGTAATGGAGATAGGAGTGGTTATAATTCACCAGTAAACCACAGAATTTATTTATTTTTTTAAAAATAATTTTTTCTTTATTGATTTCAGAGATGAAGGGAGAGAGTGAGAGAAAAACATCGATGAGAGAGAACATCGAATGGATGTTCTGCATGCCTCCCACTGGGGATCTGGCCCACAACCTGGGCATGTGCCCTGACTGGGAATCGAACCAGCTACCTCTTGGTGTATGGGTCGATGCTCAACCAGTGAGCCACACTGGCCAGGCCACAGAATTTATTTTACTCTAGAATTTAACTTCCCCTTTGTGCTGGCTAAATCTTTGCCAGTTGCACTTTTCTTGTGACAGGAATTATTCACAAGCCTGACTTTGCATCTCTGCCGGGAAAGTACTTTCACAGTCTTTCTGCCGACATTACCTGTCTAGGTGTATTACCTAGTGATGTCACTTACATACAGGGTGGGCAAAAGTAGGTTCACCATTGTTCATACGGGAAATAATACCATAATTTAATACATAAACAATATATAAGAATAGACTCTGTTTCCTGTACTCATAACTCTGAACCTATTTTTGCCCTACCCTCTATTTCCTAGAACTAGGAAGGATAGTACTTACTTGTTTGGGAGAAAAATTTTGAAATTCATTCATTTTTCCTGAAGACATTTTTAAAACGAAACTATGTTTTAACTACAGTAAAGGGTTTTTAAAGCATGCATGTAATAACTTTAGTTATCTTGACATGAATATTATATATTTTTCTGGTTCCTTTCTGGTTTCTCTTTACATATGAATTTGTTTTACATTGTTGGAATCTTGTGTTTTCCCATTTAACATAAAGATGCTTCCATTGTTACAAAGTCTTCATTATTATAATTTCAGTTGCTACGTAATGGCTCATTTGCTACTTATTTTCTTATAAAACTTTTTCTAGTAGTTACTGTTTCTTTTCTAGCTAGCTCATATTAGTATGCTCCCATAATTTATTTGAAAATTTTATGCAAATGTTAACTTTATTAGTTTTCTTCACACGTATTTGTTCTTAAATAATCCCTCATGAATATATATATAGTCATGTATATATATAAATGTTATATATAGTATATATACATATACTCTGTATACTATGTATATGCATATGCTACACACACACACACACACACACACACACATCACATTTATAGCAATTTTTGAAAAGACAGTAAAAATTACTGAATAATGTAGACTCAACAGTAGTAGAAAAGCCCTCGATTATCTTAGGCAACTGTTAATTCAGCCTTTAGGTTTGCTTTTTCTCTCTAACGTGCCATGTTGTT